GTCAGTCATTTTCGTATAGTATTGCATTGGATGTTTAAGGTCCATTATATGAGTGAGAACATGTGATACTCGGATCTTTGTTTCTGTGAGAGGTCACTCAGTATTATAGACTCTAGTTCCATCCAGGTTGCTGCGAAATTCATGATTTTGTTCTTTTTTATGGCTGCGTAGTATTCCATCGTGTATATGTACCACATTTTTTTAATCCAGTCCTCTTTTGATGGGCAGCATGGCTGTTTCCAGGTTCTTGCTATTGTGAACAATGCTGCGATAAACATGCATGTGCAGGTATCTTTTTTATAGAGTGATTTGTGTTCTTCAGGATATATTCCCAGTAGGGGGATTGCGGGGTCATATGGGAGGTTGGTATTTAGAGCTTTTAAGAATCGCAAGGTCTTAACTCTCTTCAATTCTGTGAAGGTCTGAGAGAGGTGAGGAAGCTGCAGAGGAAAAGTCTGAAACTTACAGAGGTTGATTCACGAGGTTTAAGGAAAAAAGGGGGTCTCTACAACATAAGAGTGCAAGGTGAAACTAGAAGGGTTGATGTAGAAGCTGCAGCAAGTTGTCCAGAAGAACTAGGTGAGATCATTGATGGTGACTACACTCAACAACAGATTTTCAATGTAGACAACACAGCCTTCTGTTGGAAGAAGATGCCAACTAGGACTTTCATGGCTACTGAGGTATTATGTTTTTAGACATAATGCTATTGCACATTGAATAGTGTAATAAACATTTTGTAAGGCTATAGCTGCCATAGGTCAATGCCTGGCTCCAAAACTTCAAAGACAGGCTGACTCTTTTGTTAGGGGCTGATGATTTTAAGTTGAAATCAGTGATCATTTACCATTCCAAAAATCCAATGGGCCTTAGGGATTATGCTAAATCTACTCTTCCTGTGTGCCATCAATGGAAAACAAAACCGGGATGACAGCATATCTGTTAACAGAATAATTCACTGAATATTTTAAGACCACTGTTGAGAATTACTGCTCAGAAAAAAAGAATTCTTTCGAAATATTACTGCCCATTGATGATGTACCTGGTCACTCTAGAGCTCTGATGGAGATGTGCAAAGAGTTTCATGTATTTTCATGCCTGCTAGTGCAACGTCCATTCTGTAGCCCATGGATCAAGGAGTCATTTAGACTTTCAAGTCTTAGTATTTAAGAAATACATTTTGTTAAGCCAGACATGGTAGTGTGCATCTGTAATTTCAGCTATGTGGAAGGCTGAGGCAGAAGGATTGCCTGAGCCCAGCAGGTTGGGACTGCTGTGGCCGTGAGCATGCCACTGCACTCCAGTCTGGGCGACAGAGTGAGACTCCAACTCAAAATCAGAAAGAAAGAAAGGAAGGAAGAAAGGAAGGAAGGAAGGAAGGAAGTAAGAAAGAAAGGAAGGAAGGACGGAAGAAAGAACACTTTGTAAGGCTATAGTTGCCATAGGTTGATTTCCCTGATGGATCTGGCCAAAGTAAGTTGAAATCTGGGGAAGGATTCATTATTCTAGATGCTGTTAAGAACACTCATGATTCATGGGAGGAGGTCAAAATATCAACATTAACAGTAGTTTGGAAGATGCTGATTCCAACTCTCATGGATGACTTTGAGGAGTTAAAGCCTTCAGTGGAGGAAGACACTGCAGATGTGATGGAAATAGTAGAACTAGAATTAGAAGTGGGACCTGAAGATGTAACTTAATTTTTGCAGTGTCTCTTGGACGGTGCTGGTCCATGCCCTCCCCCTGTGTGCCTCATGGCTGTGCCTCAGAAAATTGAGAAAATCAAGGACTTTCTGCTTACTACTCAGCAGAAGGATGCTAAATCTGTCAAGATCAAGAAAAACAAGGATAATGTGAAGTTTAAAGTTCGATGCAGCAGGTACCTGTATAACTTGGTCATCACAGATAAAAAGAAGGCTCAGAAATTGAAGCAGTCCCTGCCCCCAGGTCTGGTGGTGAAGCAACTGAAATGAACCAATTAAAATTCAAAAAAAAAATGGTTGTAATTTCATGATAAAATGTGAATGAATGAGAAGTTGGTTCTTATGGATGAACAAAGAAACGTTTACTGAGATGGAATCTACTCCTGGTGAAGATGCTGTGAACATTGCTGAAATGACAACACAAGATTTAGAATATCATGTAACTTAGTTGATAAAGCAATGCTTTATCATTATTGAGAGGATTGATTCTGATTTTGAAAGAAGTTCTACTGTGGGCAAAATGCAATCAACCAGAATCACATGCTACAGAGAAAATTTTCTGTGAAAAGAAGAGTCAATTGATGTGGCAAACTTTACTGTTGTCTTATTTTTAAAGATTGCCATAGCCACCCCAGCCTTCAGCAACCAACACCCGGATAAGTCAGCAGCCATTCCCATCGAGGCAAGACTGTCCACCAGTGAAAAGATTATGACTTGCAGAAGGCTCAGGTGATTGTTAGCACTTTTTAGCAATAAAATATTTGAAAATTAAGTTGGGTACATTGTTTTTAGACATAATACTATTGCACATTGAATAGTGTAAGCATAACTTTTATATGTACCAAAAAATTCATGTGACTTGCTTTATTGCAATATTCATTTTATTTTATTTATTTTTTGAGTTGGAGTCTCACTCTGTTGCCCAGACTGGAGTGCAATGACATACTCCTGGCCACCACAGCATCGACCTACTGGGCTCAGGTGATCCTTCTGCCTCAGCCTCCAAGTAGCCGGAACCACAGGTGCACGCTACCATGCCCGGCTAATTTTTTGATTTATTGTAGAGATGAGGTTTCGCCAAGTTGCTTGGGTGGGTCTTGAGCCTGCGGGCTCAGACAATCCACTCACTTCGGCCTCCCAAAGTGCTGGGATTACAGGGTGAGGCACCAAGCCTGGCCCAATATTCGTTTTATTGTGTTGGTCTGGAACCAAACTTGCAGTATCTCCAAGGAATTGATTGGAAAGGGTTTGCATTTTCCTTCACTGGCTCACCCATTAGATATGAGAATAGGAGCTGGGCATGATGGTTCACGTTTGTAATCTCAGTACTTTGGGAGGTTGAGGTGAGAAGATTGCTTGAGGCCAAGAGTTCGAGAGCAGCCTGGGCAACATAATGAGACTTCATCTCTACAAAAAAACAAAAGGTGATGATATAATAGATCAGTTTTCTTGGATGCAAGGACCCTGGTGTTGGCCACTGAACTGTGTTTGTGCTATTTCTACCCTCCTCTCCCATCTAGCCTTTCTGGATTCCCTTAGTAACTAGTACATTTATCTTTCTATTTTATTACTCTTAATGTTTGCTAGTTCCAGAGGTCTATGGAGCATATTCTTTGAGGAATTGGGTATAACATGAGCAAAGGAAGTAAAAGGAAAAAGTCCCACAGGAAAGGCAGTGCCTAGGAGGGAAGAATCTGGGTGTGGATGCCTCCACCCCGCGTCCTTGGGCTCTTTCCTGTCCTTTGAATAGACAGAGTGGCAGCAGGAAGTAAACAGGGGTCATGGGTTTGGGGTCAGAGGATCTGTTTTCAGGTCTGGAGTTAGCCTCTTAAAGGCTGTGTGAGGTTGGCATCATCCCCAAACTTTTTCCTGCATCTGTGAAATGGGAGGTGGGGTCAGAGGAGCTCTGCGGGCCCTTTTAGTCTTAATACTCATTGTAATATGTTATTGACTTGACCACATTCCAGGTGCTATTCTAAGAACTATATGGCTTCACCTAATGCTTATAGCTAAACTCTGAGGCATTACTATTCTCATGTGAAAGATGAGGACACAGAAAGATTGACTTTTTGCCCAAGGTCTCATGGCTCAAAAGTGGAGGAGTCAGAATTGGAACCAGACAGTAACTGAATGAATGAATGACACTCAGGTCTCAGGGCACCCTTCTAGCCTCCACTTCATCATTTATGTCTTAGGAATGATTCCTTTTCTATCAACATCATTTCCCTCCTCCTACCTCTTCTGTTTAGGCTTCTTGGGGGCATTTTTTTTACTACATACCCCTTCTCTCTTTCACCCACATTCCTATCTCCATGTTCCTCTTGTTACTTATTTCCAACTTGTTCCCCTCATCCTCTAACCTGATTCACCCTTTTGTCTTCTGAACAGCGGATCACAGGCTCCCAGTTCTCCCCCAGGCTCCAGTATTTCGGACAGTCACTGAGCGGGGGTCAGGACCTCACCCAGGATGGACTGGTGGACCTGGCTGTGGGAGTCCAGGGGCACGTGCTGCTGCTCAGGTGAGAGCAACTTTCCCCGTGTGGTCTTAGGTTGTGCTCCCAGAAGCCAAGGGCTTGTCCTCAGCTCAGTGTTCTGCCCACAGGACCAGACCCATCCTCAGGGTGTGGGTGAACATAGACTTCACACCAGCAGAGATCACCAGGTCTGTGTTTGAGTGTCAGGAGCAGGTGGTCTCTGTCCAGACACTCAGCGATGCTGCTGTCTGCCTTTATATTTACGCAAGTCCCAAGAACCAGTTCGGTGAGTCCTTTCCCTCTGATCCAGGACACCCTGACCTGTGGAGTCCCCTAGCTCTGCATTGTCCCTTGCCCATCTGAGAAGTTCCTAGCTCTCTCAATACTCCTCATTCCTGCTTTCCCCTATAGGTGGCCTCCAAAGCTCTGTGACTTTTGACTTGACCCTTGACCCTGGCCGCCGGAATCCCCGTGCCATTTTTGAGGAAACAAAGACCCGGACTCTGACTCGAGTCCGAATCCTTGGACTGGACCAGCACTGTGAAGCTGTGAGGTTGCTGCTTCCGGTGAGTCTTGTGGATGGGTGTGGGTGGAGGCCATGCTGAGGATGGCAGCAGGATGGGCAGGGAAAAAGAGCAGGCCATATTCTGGCCCCCCTCACCCCCCGTGGCTCAGCCCAGCACAACACCCGGCATGCAGGGGGTGCCTAATACATGTTTGCCATATGAGTGAGTGAGTAAATCAATGAACGAGGTTGGCTGCAACTGCCAGCAGTCATACAGCTGGATTTCAGGAAAGAGAATTTGGCTACTTGAGAGAAAAATGGCACTTCAGGCTGGGATTCTTTCAATAATTCATTGGACATGTATTTATCAAGCCACTCCTCTGAGACAGGACCCGTCCCATGGGCCAGGGAAATAGTAGTGGACAAAACAGCTATTGCCCATGGGGAGCTCTGGGGATAAGACAAAACAAACAAATAAAAAAACCCATAAGTTTCTAGACAATAGATGTCAGGTAATGATAAATGCTATTAAAAAAAAGACAAGACCAGAGAAGAGAACAGAGGATGTCATGAGGGCCTCTTGCAGGAGGTGAAATTTGAGAAAACATGGAAGAGGGAGCCGTGTGGGAGGCTGGGGAAGGTCTCTACTTGGCAGGATAAGAAGAGTGGACATTATGGAGCGCAGGCAGGGGTTGCTGTTGCCCCATTTTACAGATGATGAGATGCCCCAGTTAGTACTCTGAATGGGTGTTTTCTTTAACCTCCACTTTCTTCTATGTCTGAGCTCTAGGCCTGTGTGGAGGACTCTGTGACCCCTGTCATCTTGCGTCTCAACTTCACTCTGGTGGGTGAGCCCATGCCTTCCTTCAGAAACCTCCGACCTATGCTGGCTGCAGACACTCAGAGATACTTCACGGCCTCTGTGAGTCCTGCTGTTGGGGCCTCCCAGAAGGGTTGGACATCTTGGGCTATGGGTCTTGGGGAAAACCCTGCATTGCCTTTCCGCTCAGCTCCCCTTTGAGAAGAACTGTGGAGCTGACCACATCTGCCAGGATGACCTCAGCATCTCCTTTGGCTTCTCAGGGTGAGCTTCCACCCCTTAGACCTACCCTGGTACCCCAGCCTCCTTCCTGGAACCTGAGACTACTGCCCTGGCTCTCCCTAACACCGCCACCATGTACTCTGAACCTAGGTGTCCTGTCCCCTGTCTTCCACAACCCCACCCCATTTTATCCCCAGACCATGTCTATGCTCAGTCACAGAATCATCTCCTCCCCCTCCCCCTGACACCCAGCTTGAAGACCCTGGTGGTGGGGAGTACCCTGGAGCTGAATGGAGAGGTGATAGTGAGGAATGATGGTGAAGACTCCTATGGAACCACAGTTACCTTCTTCTACCCGGCAGGGTTGTCCTATCGCTGTGTGGCAGAGGGTCAGGTATTCTCTCTGGGGAAGGAAGAGGTGGCAGGGCTGGAAACCAACATAGACTCCTATGTGGATTCAAAGCCTGGGCTGGGCTGTCATTGCTTAGCAGCCTCTAGCATGCCAAGAGGTCTGGGCTGGTCATGGATGTGGTTGTGCTATCTGGGGCTCTCCTCGGCTCATGCAGTGTTCAGCTTTGCACATCACATTTTAGGGACACTGACTATCAGGAGTGAGTTCCTGAGAAGCCACTAATGTGGAGAGAGAGGGGATTCTGCTTTACATTTATTTGTATTCCAAATCATGTCAACATTCCTCTTTTAAGGGAAAACACCCTACAGCCTTCAAACATTTTAAAACATTATTCTGTAGAAGAAAGAGATTGGATTTATTGGTACACCTGGGCCTCATTCTATAAAGGGCTGGATAGCAGATATTTCAGTTTTATGGGCCATATGGTCTCTGTCACAGCTGTGCAATTCTGCTGTTATGGAGTGAATTGACAGCAGCCATTGACTTGAATGAGTGTATGAATGAGCGTAGTTGTGATCCAATAAAACTTTATTTATAAAAATAGGTGGTGGGTTATCATTTGCCAATCTCTACTCTAGAAGACAGAGCTAAGACCACAAGGAGTCAAAGAGAACGGTTTGAGTGTGTCCCCCAAAGTTCATGTGTTGGAAACTTTATCTTCAGTGCAACTGTGTTAAAAGGTGGGACCTTTAAGGCATGATTAGATTATGAGAGCTCTGCTTCAAGAATGGATTGATATCATTATCTCAGGAGTGAGTTAATTATTTTGGGAATGAATCTCTGATCAAAGAATGAATTTGGCCCCCTTTCCTACTCTTGCACATGCTGTCTTGCCATTCTGCCTTCTATTGTGGAATGGTGAGCACAAAGGCCCTCACCAGATACTGGTGCTATGCTCTTGAAATTTCCAACCTTCAGAACCACAAAGGTCCTATTGTTTATAAATTACTCGGCCGGGTGTGGTGACTCAAGCCTGTGATCCCAGCACTTTGGATGACTGAAGAGAGAGGATTGCATGAGTCCAGGGTTTCGAGACCAACCTGGGAAACTCAGTGAGACTCAAAAAATTAGCTGGGCATGATATTGTGTGCCTGTAGTTCCAGCTACTTGGAAGACTGAGGTGGAAGTATCACCTGAGCCCAACAGGTTGATGTTGCAGTGGCTGTGAGTGTGCCACTGCACTCCAGCCTGGGTGACAGTGTGAGACTCTGACCAAAAAAACAAAAACCAAAAAAACAAAAAACACACAAATTAACCAGTCTGTGGTAATCTGTTACAGCAGCAGATAAAAGACTAAGTCACACTCTGTATTCCTAAGGAGTGGGGCCATCTTTGGTGGCCCGATGCTATTATCATATCTAATGAAATAAATGATTCTTTGGTATTTAGACCATAGTCAAATTTTCCTAATTTGTCTTAAAAATATCTTCTTACTCCTGGTTTACTTGAAACAAAGTCTAAATTAGGTCCATACATTATTTTTTGTTGTTATATCTGCTATGTCTCTTTTAGTCTAATAGTCCGAAAAAGAGCATAGTCTGATTAATGTATGAAAGAACACACTAGGAAAGGTAATCTCTAGCATGTGAGAGGTCATCACTTGTTGTTGAAAGGCTCCTAGACATATCAAGCAAATGCAATGTGTGGACCTTTGTTGGATATTGATTTTAACAAATGAGCTAGAAAATAACAATTTTGGAGGCAATCTAAGGAAATGGAATACGATCTGTATATTAAGTAGTTATTGCTAATTTTGTTGGGTATGATTTGTTAGGTCTTGTGGTTATGTTAAACAATACCCTTATCTGTTGACTATACACTGAATTATTTCTGGATGAAAAAATATGATGTCTGGGATGTGTTTTAAACTATCCAGAGAAAAAAGTGGAGAACAATTGAATGAAACAAAAGTAGAAAAATGTTAGTAACTTAAATTGAGTGGTAGGTACATGGGGGTTGATACTCTCTACTTTTGAATATGTTTGAAAATTTCCATAATAAAAGGCCTTTAAAAAAAACATATAAGAAAAAAGGGGAATTTTAAAGTAAATTTGAGATTTCTACTTTGGGAGGAAGTTTGACCAGATAGTGTCTGAGGAGCCTTTTAAAACATAACCTTAAGATAAATTCCAGGAAACTTCGTCACTACTTCATGGAGACTCTTTGAAGTACTAACAAATACTCGTCTGCCTTTATTTGACCACCATTGTCTAGAAACAGCTGCAGCCGCGCTCCCTGGGCCTCACATGTGATAGTGTCCTGACTCGGAGCCAGAGTACCTGGAGCACCAGGTGTAGCATCAGCCACCTCATCTTCCGTGGGGGCACCGAGGTCAGCCTGGCTTCTGCCCACACCCTACTTCCCTGCCCTAACTGTTTTACTCCTCCATGGCCTCCTGATCTCCCCTGTTCCTGCTCCTCTTCCTCAGATCACCTTCTTGACTATCTTTGACGTCTCCCCCAAGGCTGTGCTGGGAGACCGGCTGCTTCTGACAGCCAATGTGAGCAGGTGAGCTAGGTCAGCCCAAGGAGCAGTATCCCCTCATCTCTAGCCTCACATTCCATCCTCCTCCACAGGGGCCCTTGGCAACTGGGTGTCTTCTCTCTCACCAGTGAGAATAATACCCCAAGGACCAGCAAGACCACCTTCCAGATGGAACTCCCTGTGAAGTACGCCGTCTACACCGTGATCAGCAGGTGCCTCACTGAGACCTCAGGAGGGTTCTTCTCTATCACCCTGATGGGTGGTGGTTCTCATCCCGTACAGCAGCAGAACATCTGTGATGTTTTAGGTGTATCATCTTTTTGAGTGGTAGATGATACTGCTAGCAGCACTTATTAATCAACACATGTTTATTGCGGGCTAGTTATGAGTTAAGAAGAATTGTGATACCATTATCATTATATCCTACTTTTCATAGAGATTGCAGGTCTGTGAAGGCTTTCTCAAAAGCGCCAAGGTTCTTTTGGGTTTCCTAGGAGATATGAAACATGTCTTTATTTTCAGTGCTCTTACTGCCTCATTGGGAAGCAAAGTGACCCTGGTCCAAGCCAAAATCTCACCAAGGGTCACTGTGGTTCTGTAACCTGAAGGGGGTGATGTGCTTTCCGGGGGGGGGCGCAGAGCCTCTTATAAGGGGAGACCTCAGCTAAACATTGAAGGGTCACTGCACTGGGCTTGACCAGCAACAATTCTTAAAGGGACCCTTGGCATTTGGACAGGAAATTTCCTTTTCACAAGGAACAAACTTTGACCCCAAAGGGCTTTTATTTTATTTTATTATTATTTGTTGAGTTGGAGTCTTACTCTGTTGCCCAGGTTGGGGCGCTGTGGCATGCTCATACCATCCCAGCATTGACCTGCTGGGCTCAGATTATCCTTACACCTCAGCCTTCCAGGTAGACAGGACTACAGGCACGTGCTACCATGCCCGGCTAATTTTTGATGTATTGTAGAGATGAGGTCTCGCCAAGTTGTCCAGCTGGTCTCGAACCCGCGGGCTTGGAGATCCACTCGTCTCGGCCTCCCAAAGTGCTGGGATCACAGGCTGAGCCACTGAGCCCAGCCGACCCTTAAGGGCTTTTAGAACTCCCTTCCCCTTTGCCCAGTCCCTTGGGGAAGGACAAGGACAGATTAGGGGCCTGTTGCAGAGACTATATCTAAGGGAGAAGCTGGATAAAAAGATAGGAACTTGGCTGGGTGTGGTGGCCCACACCTGTCATCTCAGCACTTTGGGAAGCCGAGGCAGGAGGATTGCCTGAGCCCAAGAGTTTGAGACCAGCCTGGGTGACATAGTGAGACTTCATCTCTACAAAAAAAGAATTAGCTGGGTATGGTGGCATGTGCCTATAATCCCAGCTATCTGGGAGGCTGAGGTCAAAGGATCACCTGAGCCCAGGAGGTCGAGCCTGCAGTGAGCCATGATTGTGTCACTGCACTCCAGCTGGGGTGACAGAATAAGCCCTCAACTCAAAAAAAAAAAAAAAAGATAGGGACCTAAATTGCTGCCCAAGGAGAGTTACATGAGGTGTTTGAAACTAAGAAGGCAAGTGTTTTAGCAGACACTTCCTTTCAACAAATGACTTTCTAGCATGTGCTATATGCCAGGCACAATGCTGTGATTACTTTCCATAAATTTGTTCAACATTCAACAAAGATTTATTAAGTACTTTTCATATGTTATCATAACCAGACATAGACCTCTACCCCTGTGGAGTATGCCTTGTTAGATGCTCTCTTCCTGCCTCGGGTCTTACACCCTCATTTGCACCTGCACACTGGGGGCTCCCAGACAGGTGCATGCTGTGGGCTTACTTGCCAGAGCAGGCACTGGGGTTTTCACACCTCCTTGCAGGGGACCTGCAGGCACGACACTGCATGTGTGACCCTACAGCTCAGTCACACTCTGCAGATGTGACTTTGTGGTTGGAGGCATTCAGAGGGGCTCCCCGAGGCCAAACTGAGGCATTTTTGGGGGGAGTCCCTTGGCAGAGGAGGAATGAAACTTCAGAGTAGAAGTGGTGGGCTGGAATGCGGGCTATGTCTGCAAAAGGAAAGGAACCCGAAGTGTGGAGCAGTGAGGGACAGAGGTGAGACCAGTCACCCATGCGAGGGTCCTGGCTGGCCACTGGGTCTCCAGACTTGGGCTCGAGTGGGCCTCAGAAGGTGTTGTCAAACTGAGACCAGGTGAAGAGTCTGCTGTTGGGCCCTCCCTCACCTCCAAGCCTCCAACCCAGAAAAGCCAAGGAAGCAGGAAAGAAGAGTCTCTGGGGAGGCTTTGGGGGACCAGAAAGGGGTAGCTCGGCAAGTCTTTGGTCTGTAGTATCATCAACCTGTGCTGTGTCCCACATGCTCCCCAGCATCCTGAAAGGAAAGCTGAGGTGCAGGGAGGGTCAGGCCCTGGCCCCTTCTCCCCTGTGGGTCAGTGGCAGGTTCCTGAGCTCTGTTCACTGCACCCCTGCCCCTCTCCTCGGCAACTTTCTCTGCGGGCAGCTTCTGCAAGCATCTTGTACCCATCTTGAAGCATAGCCTGCTCCCTAGACCCTCCTTTATCACAACTGAGCCACAGACCTCATTCCAGCACACCCCAAAGCTTCACTGACCCCTGTCATGCTTCAGCCAGAGCCTGTGCAACTTCACCTCCACCTAATGCCTTTTCTCTCTCCAGCCATGAACAATCCACCAAGTACCTCAACTTCTCAGCTTCGGAAGAGGGGGAAAGCAGTGTGGTCGAGCATAGATACCAGGCAAGGGGTGGGGACTCCAAGTTCAGGCTGGGGCAGGGGTCTGGGAACTGGAGATTGGGGGGTGCTGCATGCTGTGGTAGGGGTTCTGGTCTCACTGCCCTCTGTGCAGGTGAACAACTTGGGACAGAGGGACTTGCCTGTCAGCATCAACTTCTGGGTGCCTGTGGAGCTGAACGGGGCGGCTGTGTGGGTGGAGGCGGAGGTCTCCTCTCCCCAGGTACCCACGGACTGTTTATTTCTCCCCCTTTACCTGATTCCCAGTGTCCCTCATGAATCCTTGATATCCCAAACTGAGACCCTTGTTCTCTCTGTGTCTTCTCCTAGAACCCACCCATTCAGTGCTCTTCAGAGAGAATGGTTCCCTCAGAGTATGACTTCCTGACTCACATTCAGAAGAAACCTGTGCTGGTGAGCAGAGGTCTGGGTTGTTCCCAACTTTAAGCCACATAGCAGAGGAATTTATGTTTTGTTTTTTTTGAGTTGGAGTCTCACTCCGTCACTCAGGCTGGAGTGTAGTGGCACGATCACAGCCACCCCAGCGTCAACCTGCCGGGCTCCGGTGATCCTTCCGCTTCAGACTTCCAAGTAACTGGAATTACAGGCCTGGCTAATTTTTTGATTTATTGTAGAGATGGGTGCTCACCAAGTTGCCCAGGCTGGTCTTGAACTCCTGATCTCAGGCAATCCTCTCACCTTGGCCTCCCAAGTGCTGGGATTACAGGCTTGAGCCACCTACATCCGGCATATCAGAGGAATTTAATCCAGGAATCCATGTTCCGTGTCCATCCTGCTGAACAACCCTCTTGTTTTCAGATGTGGCTACTTCTCTCAAATCACACAGTTTAATTTCGTCTTCTACCTTCAAACTCATCTTTCTCAGCCTGTTGCTACTTCCCCTGTCCCTAGGACTGCTCCGTTGCTGACTGCCTGAGGTTTCGCTGTGACATCCCCACTTTTGGGATCCAGGAGGAACTTAACTTCATTCTGAAGGGCAACCTCAGTTTCAGCTGGGTCAGCCAGGTGTGTAGCCCAATGGAAGAGTCTCTGCCCCAGATTCAGGTGGTACCTGATGCGCCTGTGCCCATCCTCAAGCCAGGATATTTCTGGAACTCTGAGCCTCCCCCAGAACCAATTTCACAGGTTCCCCCTCCCTTTGCAGACACTGCAGAAGAAGGTGTTGGTTGTGAGCATGGCTGAAATCACATTCGACACATCTGTGTATTCCCAGCTTCCAGGACAGGAGGCATTTATGAAAGCCCAGGTAGTGACTGTGTGGTTGGCAGTGGCTGGGTTAGTAAGAGGCCTTCTGATTTCAATCTGTGATGCTGGATGGGGGATTTGTGAGGCTAGAAGGAGACAGGATGTAGGTGTCTGGGCAGGACAGTTGTTCCTAAGCTCATGGCTTCTTCTGCATCTTACCCCTTGGAGCTAGGTCTAGAGGGAAAAGGGAGGGATTTAAAGGTTGGGGAACCTGGGAGGAGTCTGGGACAGCAAGAGGCCTGACACTTTCTGATGGGATCACCTCCACTTCAGACAAAGACGGTAGTGGAGAAGTATGAAGTCCATAATCCCATCCCCCTCATCGTGGGCAGCTCTGTGGGAGGTCTGCTGCTGCTGGCTCTCATCACAGCCATACTATATAAGGTGAGGGTTTTATCCTACTCTTGACACCCAGCATTGGTCGCACTCTTTCTATAGTGTAAGAAAGAGCTCACTTTTAGGTTAGATACGCATTCTCGCTAGGTCACTTCATGTGAAAAACTTCCTCCTATTTATGATATCAGTAGTCCCCAGTCATCCCACCATGTGCGCCTTCCTCTGTGATTCTCACACTTTCTCTAGTCTCTCTCCCTTTCTTTTCCCTTCTTCTCCACCCTTGACAACAAATTATAATATAAAAGTACAGACTTGGGTTTGAATGTTGGCACCACCATGGATTCTTTCTTTCTTCAATCACAAGTGCTTGTTCCACTTCCAGGTCTTGATTTTTCAATGGAAGGTGAATCTGCCCAGCTCATAGAATTTTTGCACAATGTGTACAAAGTTCCTAGTGCATGCTTTGAACACAGTAGGGATTCCCAAAATAGTGATCCCTCCTTCCCTCCCAGTCATCTCTTTCCCTCTCTTCTGCTGGGTGGACTTCCTGATTTTTTCTTCTTTCTCTCCCACAGGTTGGCTTCTTCAAGCGTCAGTACAAGGAAATGATAGAGGAAGCAAACGAACAAATTGCCTCAGAAAAGGGGACAGCAGACCCTCAAGTAGCCCAGTGAGAAACTGCCTCCTGTCTCCCTGAGAGGGCTCCCAGTTCTCTTACTCTCACCTGAGTCAAGCCCAAGGGGAAGAAACATTCCACCTGAAGGAGGCTGGGATCAGTCTGCTTTCTCTCTTTGGGAAAATGCAGTGTATCTGCACAAAGCGTCTTGCTAGGGAAAGGCCATTTGTCTTGTCAAAGTTCCAACTTTGGATCCCTGCCACATCCCCCAGAGGACTTGACTTGGAATTTCTACCTAGAAATACGTGAACAATAGCCCCACACCCCACTAGCCACAAATGATCTTTCTAAAATATGGTACTAAATACGCCATTGACCCTCATCCATCTCCAGTGGCTCCCAATTACTCTTGGGGCAATATCTGACCTCTTCAGCTTCATGTTAGACATCCCATTCCATTTCCAGAAGGTCAGCTTCAGAGCACACAGCATGAGAGGCTCTGTGCCTCCTTGTTATCCTCATTTCTAGTAAAATACTGTCAGCATTAGCTGTTTGCTTTGTTTTGGGGCTCTCAGTCCAGGTTTCTAAGACTGAATTGGGAGCGCAACGCCTGCACATTGGAATTTGCAAAGCTGACTTCCGACATTGGTTAACATTGCTGGCTGAAAGCGAGGGGGGTCCCTTCTGGGGGGATGTTGTCCCAATGCTACTGCAGCTCAAGGGTCAGAAGAGGCCCAGGACACTCCATTTTTTGAGGCTCCAAATATGGGAAATGAAGAAATGCCAGAACATGTTTATGAAAGATGTGTATTTCAAATGTTTGCATTACTAAGTTGAAACATACATATGATTTCTCACAGAAATAAAGATCTGAGTATCACATGTTCTCACTCATAAGTATACCTTGAACAACTATCGTAATACTATAAGAAAAGGATTGACAGTTGTGGGAAACCATGGGGTGGGGACAGGGAGGGGAAGGGAGGTGGGATTAACGGTAGTCAATATCTGTCTGGGGACGGGGAGGCGGGCACAACTCATCAACAAGGGTACCTGCACAATGTATATTTGTATACCTAACCCTTAACTGTACCCCACAATTTTAAAATAAAAAATATGTTAAAAAACATGCATAAAAAGATGTATGTTGTATATTTTGGGGCAATATGTCAAAGGGATAAAATTAATTATTTTGTGGATGTAAGACTTGGACAGTGACCCCCATGGGGTCCCTTTGCCATGGTGGATCCTGGCCAGCCCTGAAGCCTGGGGGTCAGGACAAGACAGTTAACCAGAGTGGGGTCACAAATATCCTTATACTGGGGGTAACTTGACTTCTTAGTTTACTCATCTATTCTCAAGGCAGTTGCTGATAGGAAGCTGGTGGAACTGTTGGGTGGAAGGGTGGGCCTAGGACAGAGAAGGGAAAACATCCCCCAGGGTGCCCAGAGTTTGAGGAGCTTCTCCTACAGCTGCTGCAGAGTCAGCCTTGGCAGCTTCTACACTGGGCCTGGGAGGAAGATGCTTTCGTGGCAATGTGTGGTCTCTGCAAGTATTTGATTATCTAATTGCCTTTTGTCCCTATTTTTCTCTAAAAATGAGTGGAAAACAAAAAACTTTTGCTGAGGCAAGTAACAATACAAGTGAGGCAAAGTTGGAGGGTTTTATGGTTGCTGAAATCAGCAAAATGTTAGTCTCAAGCACTACTTGTGGAAAGAAGTCCAAAATAAAAGATTATGTATGAAATGTGATACCACTCAACATTGTGTCCAAGAGGTGTGGTGAAGATGGAAGAAATGAAAAGATATTAAAAATTTTGGGTTACAGAGAGTCATCAAAAAGTTATTTTGTGCTTCCTCAAAGAGAAGTTCACAGACCCACAGAATGAATGATGGGGCAGTATAATGCCTGCTACATACTCCTCCACACAAAAGTGGGTAGGCTGTTAATCAACTTGATCTTGACAGTCTTTTGCAAGATAAGTCAGCCTCAGAGTTAGCGATCACAGCCCATGGTCCAGTTCCCTACAGTGGCATCATCAACATGTAACAATTGCTTCTGTCCATCAAACATCAGTTAAATAAATTGATGCAAACTTTTTGTGTAGAAACTATTTTATATTGTGTATACTTGACATTTAATCCATATTTTAAGTGTTTTAAATAACTGTCACTTATATACACAAAGTAATTTATGCTATAGGTAGGCGTCATGTCATCTATTTTAACCTTCAAAGTTTATCCCTGGGCTTTTATTATTTATTTATTTTTTTTGAGTTGGAGTCTCACTCGGTTGCCCAGACTAGAGAGCAGTGGCCGCTCCCGGCCACCGCAGCCTCGACCTGCTGGGCTCCGGCGATCCTTCCACCTCAGCCTTCCGAGTAGCTGGAATTACAGGCATGCGCTACCACGCCCGGCTGATTTTTTGATTTATTGTAGAGATGAGGTCTCGCCGCCCAGGAGGGTCTTGAACCCGCGGGTTCAGGCAATCCACTCACCTCCGCCTCCCAAAGTCACAGGATTACAGGCTGAGCCACCGAGCCCGGCTATCCCTAGGCTTTTATATGTAGGACCTTTTTCATGTTTCTAAGAAACATTTATTTATTTATGTTTAATTGTAGAATATTCCAAACACACAGAAAATAAATAACAATGGCTCATTTATCTATCCCTTCCCCTTTAACAAACGTTAAAATATTAAGAGTAAAATACTAAATTTAACAATTGTTGAGAATTCCCTCCTCACCCTACCAGACGCAATCAGTCTTCTTCTTTTTTTTTAAAATTTATGCAGAGAACAGGATTATTTGGCTCATGGTTCTGCAGACTGTACAAGAAGCATAGTGAGCATAGTGACAACCTCTGCTTCTGGTGAGGCCTCAGGAAGCTTACAATCATGGCAGAAGGGGAAGGGGGAGCTGGTTGGTCACATGGTGATAGAGCAGGAGAGAGGGGAGGAGGTGGCAGGCTTTAAAAAAAAATTTTATTATTGGAATGTGTGGTACAAGTGAGGATTAACTACATAAGTAAGACTGCATGCAGTTGAAGTTTGGGCTTCTAATTGGCCCTCACTCTTCCTGGTAAGGAACCAGGTGCTCTTTGTGTTGTCATGTGCTCTCCACCCTCTCCCCTCCCTTCCTCCCCTAGCAGTGCCCAGTGACGGCTGATCCCTCCCTTGTGCTAATGTGACTAACGTTCAAGAACAACTTATGAGTGAGAACATGTGGTATTCAGATCTTTGTTTCTGTGACAGTTCACTCGTGTGATGGTTTCCAGCTCCATCCAATTTGCTGTGAAGTCCATGATTTTGTTCTTTATGGCTGCATAATCCAGTCCACTTTCAATGGGCATTGGGGTTGGTTCCATGTTTTTGCTATCATAAATAGTGTGGCAATAAACATGCATGTGCAGGCATCTTTTTTGTAGAACAGTTTATGTTCCTCTGTGTATATTTCCAGGAAGGAATTTCTAGATCACAATGCTTTCCACAGAGGTTGGACTAGTTTGCACTCCCACCAACAGTGTAGAAGTATTCCCTTTTCTCTGCACCTGCACCAGCATCTGTTGTTTTTTGACTTATTAATGATAGTCATCCTTACTGGAGTTAGGTGGTATCTCATAGTTTGCTTCTAATTTCTCTGATGATTAGAGGTGAACTTGTTTTTCATGTGTCTATTGGCTGCTTGTATGTTGTTGTGTACATCTGTAGGCTGTTCTTATTTATTACTGAGTAGTCATTCCTTGTATGAATTAATTTTTTTTTTTGGAGTTTCACTCTGTCACCTAGGCTGGAGTGTGATGGCACAATCACAGCTCATTGTAACCTCGCCCTCCTGGGCTCAGGAAATCCTCTCACCTCAGCCGCCTGAGTAACTCGAACTACAGGTGTGCACCACCATGTCCAACTAAATTTTTAATTTTTTTTTGTAGAGACATGGACTCGTTATGTTGTCCAGTTTGGTCTCGAACCCTTGGGCTCAAACAATGCTCCCACCTCGGCCTCTCAAAGTGCTGGAATTACAGGTATGAGGCACTGCACATAGCCCCTTGTGTGAGTTTATCATTTTGTTTATCCATTCTCCTCTTGAGGGGATCTGTTTTTTTAAACAACACCCTGGCCTAGCTCCCTCCTCCTGCCTCTCTCCAGGTTCTCTGGGGTGTCTATAACATCTCTTCTGCTTCCTCCTCTTCACTCCTGTGCAGCTCCAGAGAGCCCTGAAGCCCCAGAAAACTGCGAGACCCTGTGGGTACCAACTAGCTCACAAGGCCAGGGGGAGGGTAGTCTTCTGGGGAAAGGAAGCCAGATAGCTGTAGGTGGTGGCAGGGGGAGAGTAAGAAGTTTTTACCCAGGATGCCATTGGCCTCTGCTTCCATTTCTTTTCTGTGATTAAACAGTGCCCTCTTCCCCTCTGTGCCCCTCCTCCTGTCACGTGAAAGCCCTGAGTCATTATTTTAACTACCCCCAGAATGCTGAGCACCTCCTGTGCTATTACCCAGTCCTCTACTTCTCCCTCAACGCGCTGTTCAGTGATGGCCTTTGGCATCATACTCCTCCTGGGTGGTGAGTGGGGGTCTTCAGGGTTGGGGTAAAATTTCTGTGGGCCTGTGAGGGGTCTTTGGTAGGGAAGGCTGGGGCTGCTGGTCTGCTCCTGCAGCTCTCAGGAGGTACTGAAGGCAGGGAGCAGCCTCGTGTCTAACGGCCTGCAATTGGGAGGTTGTGCCCTGAAAAAAAGTGATAGAAGATGGGCTCAGAGGTTAGGTTTGAGCGGAGAGTGAACTGCCTCTCTCAGTGGCCACATTGTCCAGGCCTCCCTCCCTTCCATTTTTGGAGGCCCTGGTGCGGGTGCCATGTAGATGAGAGATGTTTGCCCTAGCATATACCCAGGAGCAGAAAGCCACAGATGCCACTGGGGATGGGAAAAGGTTGGATGTGAACACCTCCCTGGGTTGGATTTCCCCAAGTCCTGATTGCAAGTAGACCATCCCAGGGATGCCAAGAGAACAGTCCCCACCAGTTGAAAACAGTATCAGGACCACATTCATGTGTCATTTAAAAATCAGATTTCACACAAAACCCCAGATGTCCAGTTCCTTTTGAGAAATGGGAAGGTCTGGCAGTTCTGGGTATTGGAGCTTGGTAATGGCTGTCCCCTTAGAAGGGGCACAAACCCTAAGAGTCCACCATTCCCTGGTACCTGCTTTTCCCCAAGTCACCCACTGACGTCACCTGCCTAACACAGGAGGCACTCGAGTCTGAGCCTGTTGGTATCTTGTTGGATCATAGGGGCTGCTTTCAGGCTCAGAAACAGAATCACTTGAGGTAGGAAAGGATAAGACATGAAGTTCCCTTGCATGTGGCTGTAGGAGAGTCCCAGTTCCCTAAACACCTGACCTCTGCCCAGAACCCCTGGGCTCAGACATTTGGTTCTCCCTGTCACAACCTGGCCAGACACTTGACCCATTTAGAGCTTCTCCACTATGGGGGTGGGGATTGATTCTTCAATCCAGAGAAAGCTGGGAATTCTAGAGGAATGGGGAGGAAAGATGGCTGCTTGGGAGCAGGGGGTCAGAATTAGTCCTTGAAATGCAAGGAGTCACCCCCCTGAGGGTTTGGAGCCTAGCCGCCAGTGAGGGAAGTATGAGTAGTTGAGGATGAGGTGAATGAGGTGGAATCCTGGCTATGATAGTGACTTGTTGCATGGTTCTGGACCAGTCAATAAATAGTAACCAGACACCTGCTTAACCAAGTCTTGCACCAGGCACTGACGGACAAGACAGATCCAGTCCTTGCCTTTTAGATCCTGGTATCAAGAGAACATGACATGGGAAACACAATTACAAATCATTAGTCACAGAATTCTAAGTTTGTTCACCAATCTGGAACTTAGAGTCTCTGTGTAACTACAAGATAGAACAGGACATTCTTTCAGTAGACTGCCCTATATGCCTTGGTTTGCTTGGGGCAATACTAATGATGTCTCTTTAAGTGTTACTATGTATGCATGTATTTATTTATTTTGTGTTGGGATCTCACTCTGTTGCCCAGGCTGGAGTGCAGTGACATCGTCATTGCTCACCATAGCCTCAACTTCCTGGACTCAGGTGATCCTTCTGCCTCAGTCTCTTGAGTAGCTGGGACTACAGCCATGTCTTATCATGCCCTGTTAATTTTTTTTTTTTTGAGTTGGAGTCTTACTCTGTGGCCCTGGCTGGAAGTGCAGTGGCACACTCATGGCTACCGCAGCACAGCCTGCTGAGCTCAGGTGATGCTTCCACCTCAACCTTCCAAGTAACTGGAACTACAGGCATGTGCTACCACACCCAGGTTGTTTTTTTTTTTTTTAATTGTAGAGACAAGGTCTCGCCAAGTTGCCCTGGCTGGTCTCGAATACATGGGCTCAGGCAATTTTCTCGTGTCCATCTCCCAAAGTGCTGGGATTACAGGTGTGAACCACAGCGCCTGACCTCAAATGCTACTAATTGTTACTAATGGTGCTTCTTTCAGTCTCAGAATGTCCCAGTTTAGACAATGAATGTTATAGTCATCTTACCTTTAAGTTACATTCCCGATCTAACATACCAGGAGGTGACTGGCCTAATTTCAGATCCTGGATGTCCTTTAAGTGTCAGGAGTGGGGGACATTTCCTGGAATTGGCTGTCCTTTGTATTGTGATTTGATTATTTTTGAGGGCGGGAGAGGGTTGGGAACCACACGTGCCAGTCAGTCAACAGGGCAAAAACAGAGGACTCATCCTCTGAGTGGACGGGAACCAAGGCATTCAGAGTGAGGCACCCAGAGGTGAGTGAATAGAGGGGAGGCAGTGGGAATGGAGCTTCTCTGACTCCTCCTCTCCATATTCTTCAGTCCTGGCTTCTTGTCATGGATTCAACCTGGATGTGGAGGAGCCCATCATCTTCCAACAGGATGCAGGAGGCTTTGGGCACAGCGTGGTGCAGTTCAGTGGATCTCGGTAGGCCCTCGTCACCCCCACCTCCACCCCCATCATGTCCTGTGGGTGGGTGCCTGCATGTGGCAACCCAGGGAGACGTCCTGGAGGAAGGGCAGTGTGCCTGAGAAGACTTTCCATGGCTCCTCTGAGGCTCCTGATGCCACCATGCATTTTTCATGATCCCAGGGAAGACACAAAACTCTAGGCAAGACCCAGCCTTGGGAGGGAGGCCTTGAACCTGTCCTCCAGGTGGGCCTGCTTCTTAGTGGGTGACTAGTGCAGTCTCATGGGCCCACATTCGGTGTACTTGGAGTTTAATGCTCTGCCCTTGAATTCTTGAAATGCCAAATGACTTTATCTTTGCATTTGTGTTTTGTAAGTAAAGACTGATGGGAGGATGGAGATTCACTGGGGACTTGGAGCTTCAGTTCACCAGTGGGCCCGGTTCCCACCACCTCCTGGGGTTGGAGCTGCTGGCTTCACCACCTATGCCCAGTGACTGCTGCCACTCTCTGCCCCTGCCATGAGATAGGCAAGGTCAGGGTCAGGTGCACTCACCCTGCGCATATCCCTAAGCCCAAGGGAATGTGAGACTAAATAGCAAATAAAAAACAAAACCACCAGGATAGGGGAGGGGGAAGAGCGCATGCGAGCTCACCCCTAACCCCAAAAGACTCCATCTTAATTTTGCATTGGTACTCACTGATTATGTACCTGTCCCTGCTTTCAGTAACTCACATTCTCCTGTGCCAGAGAGTTCAAGTCACAGTGTGATGCAGGCACAATGTGATACAAAGTCTGAGGAGTATAGAAAGGGAGAGATCAAACCTAGGAAGGCAATTCCAGGAGGCTCCACAGAGGAGGTAGCATGGACAGTTGTGGGCCAGCCAGAGGACAGTGGCTGGCCCACAAGGAGATACAGAGGTCAATGAGTTATAATTGCACCTCCTTCACACTTTCTCACCCAGCTGACAGCCTGGGTCAGTGAAAGCAAGGGCCAGGCACCAGGGTCTGGCTTTTTCTTTGTTTTGAAATATGACAGACTGAAGTGCACGAATCTGAAGGGTCCAACTCAATGCATGGTTACATATGTGCGTACCTGGGTAACATCCACCTAGATCAAACTGGTCATGTGTAAATCTCACAGACGGTCAGGTGTGGTGGCTCATGTCTGTAATCCCAGCACTTTGGGAGGTTGAGGTGGGAGGATTGCTTGAGGCCAGAAGGGTAAGACCAGCCTGGGCCACATAGGGAGACCCCATGTCTATTTAAAAAAACAAGAAACAAAACTCACAGACCCCTTCTCATCACTCAACAAATCCAAAGAGAGCCCCCTTTTCACTTCTATCCTCATCAATTTGTTTTCAGGCCCTATTATAAAAACTATCAATTGATCATCATTCACCAGTGTTTTCAGTAAAGTAAATCGGTACATAGCTGGTAACATTCTCCTTACTACAGTTACCATATTTCCTGGCTTCCGTCCAATCATAAACCAATACTGGAAAGACTGAGCTTACATGTAAGGAATGGATTGGGGTAAAGAGAAAACAGATTTGATAGTTTGGACTAAAAATCTTGTTCATCATTTGTGTCAGCAGGTCCCAAACCCTTATCTCTCTGGATATCTGTTCAGATTTTCATCAGCAAACTCTTAGACTCTGTTTTAGATTTTTCTTAGACGTTTTAGATTTTTCCCGTTAATCATCACACACAGGGATTGCAGCTTTCTGTAAAGGAATGGTTCTCTAGAAGGAACCCTCAAATGCCTATTTAACTAAGCCTTGCTTGACTAACCAAATACCCCAGTATTTGTCTCATTTTCACATCTGGACAGTGAACTGGTTGGTAGTGATAGAATGTTTCCAAAATTAATTTTTTTTCTCACTCAAGGAGTTTTGCAAATAAACTATATAGATATAACTATAGATGTAGATATGGATTCTGATACAGCTGGTTTAATTGTCCAGTTTAAGTTGTTTATATAATATTTAAATTTGTCCAGTTAATTACAGAACCAACTATTTGTTTTGAAGGCTTATGGCTTTAGGAAATTGTTCTATTTAACTTGGGACAGTCTGTTTCTTGGATGGCTCAAAAGGATGGCATCTCAGAAACACAATGCACTTACCCATGATTGGGAAGTGGCATTTCTGTTTTTAAATAGTTTTATTTTTGGTAAACATTTTTAAAAGGTTCAAACCTGCCTGAGCCCACGGGTTCGAGACCCGCCTGGGCAACTTGGTGAGATCTCATCTCTACAATAAATCAAAAACTAGCCGGGTGTGATAACGTGCGCCTGTAGTTCCAGCTACTTGGAAGGCTGAGGCGGAAGGATCGCAGGAGCCCAGCAGGTGGAGGCTGCGGTGGCCGGGAGCGGCCACTGCATTCCAGTCTGGGCGACAGAGTGAGACTCCAACTCAAAAAAAAAAAGGTCCAAACCACTTATGTACATAAATACACATATACTTACGTATACATACTCAAAAAAATGAAAACTCTAGCATGATCTGTAGGCATATGCAGGTTACATACTTCCCTTTCAAAGTCTCACTTCCCCATTGAGAGATACTTCCTTGCCCCCAAAGTGTCCCTGTTCCCAGCCTCCTGCGACTATGTCACGGTTGTACCTCTAGACTCGTGGTGGGAGCACCCCTGGAGGCGGTAGCTGTCAATCAAACAGGACGGTTGTACGACTGCGCATCTTCCACCGGCGTATGCCAACCTATCTCGCTGCACAGTGAGTGACCCAACCTCCAATTCTCCTGGACCCAAGTGTGCTCCCTTCAGCTTCCAGCCCGGACTTTCCACCTCAATGAGGCGATACAGTGAGTGTGATCATGTGCATCTGCCTCCTCAGTACCCCCAGAGGCTGTGAACATATCCCTGGGCCTGTCCCTGGCAGTCTCCACCAACCACTCCCGGCTGCTGGTGAGTTGTCCTGGGTCACTGGAGGGTCGTGGGGGGAGGGGAAGGGGTCAGAGGAGGGTCCTGGAGGGAGGGGAGGAGGGGGTTTTCTGGGGCCCCCTTGCTCACAGGCCTCTGCCTCCAGGCCTGTGGTCCCACCCTGCACAGAGTCTGTGGAAATAATATGTATGTGAAAGGCACCTGCCTCCTGCTGAGCTCTTACCTGCAGATCATCCGGACAGTTCCAGCTGCCCTGCCTGGTAGGTTCCTCAGAGACAGCAATTCTCTGTGGAGCACATACTGCCCTTGAGAAGTGGGTAGAGCCTGAGACCTGTGTTTCAGCCCCCTGCGCCCAGGTTTCCTTCCCGGAGGACTGAATGTAGGTAGTTAAGAGAGCCTATGGGAGCCTGTTCGGGCTTGGTAAGGAGGGCCACTCAGGGTACCAGCCCTATGCTGGTGGAGGTAAAGGTTCTGATGCTGGTGCAGGGGAGCCCCAGTGTGCTGGCTGTGGGGTGAGGGGGAGGAGGGTCTTCCAGTTACCCATCAGGTGCATGGACACTTCTTGGGTTTCAGAGGAAGGGCCTTAGGGCGGTGAAGACATATGGAGAAGATGATATTAATAAATTCATGAGAGAGATGGCTCTTTTGGATGGTTCACTGCTGAGCTGCCAGGTTTCCCCAGACTAACTCTTCTTGTATCTCCCTCTGAGGGTAGCAAACCATAGGGCTGTGGAAAGTGTGAGGCACAATTTGTGAGTACCAGGGTCTTCCACAGAACATGGGGCCTGAGAACATTGCAGTGTTATCTCTCTGAGAGTCAGTCTGCATAATGGTGGTGTCCATGTTCTTCTTCCACGTCCATGAGCAAGTGGCTTCATTCCCTGGGCTTAAGTTTCCTCATTCATAAAATGAGGTGAAATAATTGGGATGATTGTGAAGATTGAAAAGTTTAATGTGTATAAAGTGCTTAGACCCCTGTCTGGCATAATACGTGATAGCCATTACGACTGATATTTCAACTGAGTATGGCATATTTGGTCTAGGAGGGAGACACAGATGAACTGCCTCCTCTGTGGCATGAGAGGGAACTCCAGGGGCCACTCAGGGTGCTGACTGAGAGCAATGCTTTAGACCAGAGAAGCCATGATGCCAAGTGTCGCGGGCTTTTAGCCAAAGATGGAGCAGCAGCATAAACACTTCAGACCAAATTGTGAGAGGAGAGTCTATAAAGGAGACAGAGGGATGGAGGAGTGATGTCCAGCACTCTTAGGAGAGATATGCCTAGCCGGAGGTGCCTGTGAACCTGGTGTGGGTGAGGCAACATTTAAACACAAGGAGGTAAATGTCTTCTCATAGATGTCTCTGGAACTCATGAGGTAAGATGCCTGATGAAAGTGGAATACAGGAGTGTAAACCTGGTGCATGCTGAGCCAGGTTTTGGTGGAAGTGGAAGGGGTCTAGGATCCACTGAGCAGCACTTGTGTGTCAGGTTGTGCTGAGTGCCTGGTAAGAATCATCTTATTGCATCCTCACAACATCCTTGAGAGTGGGAAGAATTCCATTTTACAGGTGAGAAAAATAGGTTTAGAGAGATAAGCTTTCTTCAATAGAAAGAGGCGGAACCCAGAGTTTGAGCCAACCTTGCCTGATTGGCTGGACTCTTTTTCAAAAGGACGCATCCAAGTGCCTGCTAGCGGAAGCTCAGTGAATACAACAAAAGGAGCAAGAATCAAAGGAGACATTGTGAGAGCATTTGCCACAGGTCTGGTCAGATAGAGGTTGAGGGGGGTGGTTTTGTGATGCAACTGAAAAAGTGGACATATGCACCAGATACCAGTCACCCAGATTTGGACAAGATAATGAGCAAAATGGGAGCACCTGGGGAACCCTCAGATTTTTCTAGTAATTGAAGAAGCAGGAAGGGAAGTGATCTTCTATTTCTCCTCAGCACTCTTGAAGCACCAGCTGGTTGAGCAGGCAGGTTAGGGTAGGGGTGGGGAAAGAGGAAAGGCATTTTTTCTTTAGTGGTGGGCGTGAGGCAGGCAACCGCAATTCTGAGGTATGGGTATTGTGCGTAACAGCGCTATGGTGGCCGGATCTCCTACCCACTTGGGAGCAGCACAGGATGTGGGTGCTGGTGGAGATACCAACGGGTCCCGCACATAAGCCACAACCACCCACATGAACCTGGGGACAATCCGAAAAGTCTTTTTTTTTAAATTGGGATCTCACTGTTGCCTGGGCTGGAGTGCAGTGGCATGATCATGGCTCACTACAGCCTTGACCTGCTGTGCTTAGGCGATCCTTCCACCTCAGCCTCAAGCAATCCTCCCATTCAGCCTCCTGAGTGCCCATTGCATCTGGCTAGTTTTTGTTGTTGTTGTTGTAGAGATGAGGTCTTGATATGTTACCCAGGCTGGTCTTGAATTTCTGGGCCCAAGCAATCCTGCCTTGACGTCCTAAAGTCTTGGTATTACAGGCATGAGCCACAGCGCCTGGCAGAAAAGTCTTCCTTGTTTATATGCACATGGTGTGTCTTTCCCATTACAGTGTGAACTCCATGAGAATAGGGGTAATATCATTTTTTTTTCATTAATCAGTATTTTTTATTATGGTTTTGTGGGGTACAGTTAAGGGTTAGGTGTACAATGACATTTCATTCAGGCACCCTGTAGATAAGAAGTGTTTTCCCATCCCCCGACAGATATTTGCTACTGTTAATCCCATCCCCCTCCCCCCCATAGTTTCCCAGTACCATCAGTCATTTTCTCATAGTATTGCATTGGATGTTCAAGGTCCATTATATGAGTGAGAACATGTGATATTCGGATTTTTGTTTTTGTGAGAGGTCACTCAGTATTATAGACTCTAGTTCCATCCAGGTTGCAGCGAAATTCATGATTTTGTTCTTTTTTATGACTGCATAGTATTCCATCGTGTATATGTACCACATTTTTTAAATCCAGTCTTCTTTTGATGGGCAGCATGGGGGTAATATCATTTTTAAAGCTATGGTCTTATGTCAAATTTCCCCTGAAAGAGACTCTGAGGTCATTTGGGAATGTTCTCGGGAATAATACCTGTGAGGGTATAAAGGGAGCAGGACTGTGCAGGGGATAGGATGGACTGCAGTGTAATCATGACAGAGGCCTCAGCTGACTCCAGGGAGCTGTCACATGGTTGTCCAAAGGCTTTGAACCAGTTGTTGGATATGGGTTGCCCCCATGTGCAGGAGGAGCACCCTTGGGTGAGACATCTCCCTTCTGCCTAGTGTGATTCCTGGCAAGGGACTCCGCTGAGAGCCATCGGCCTCCAACTTCCATGTAGCTGGAAATCAGTGTCTCAGGGGGTGGGTCTGGGTGGCACACCCCAGTGTCTCCTACAGATGTATCTTACAGACCTAGAAAATGCCTGGTGCGGGATAAAGGGGTGGAGGTAACAGTTAACCCTTAGGGAGGATCAGGGTCTGTTTTAAGCACCTATGTACATATTAATTTGCTTTATCCTTGCAATAGTCCCATGTAGCAGGCATGTCTCATTTTATAGACAGGTAAACTGAAACCCGGAGAAGTTAAGTCACTTGCCTGAATTCATCAATTTACAAGTGGCAGAGCTGGGATTTGAACCAGGCACTTTGGCTCCAGAACATACACACTGAATCGCTTCACTAAACGGTCCTACCCATGCTTATGGCATCCCTAGAGCATGTGTTTGATCAATATTGGTTGAATTAATGAATGAGGAACCCACTTGGCCTCTGTCCTTCTCCTTCTTTCCAGGTCATATGGGAGAAGGGAAGCAACAGGGACTTTGCTGGGGAGACGAAGGGCTGGGGCAACAGATGGGGGCCTTCTCCATGGAGGAGTGTGAATGCCAAGGACGCTCCCTGGCTCTGTTGAGCAGAAGGGTTTCTGGGCCCTAGGAGGTGGCTGGGACCCACATCGTGTCTCTGATTCCTCCTTTCTTCCCCTGCAGAATGTCCACACCAAGAGATAGACATTGTCTTCCTGATCGACGGCTCTGGCAGCATTGAACAAAGTGACTTTAACCAGATGAAGGACTTTGTCAGAGCTGTGATGGGCCAGTTTGAGGGCACCGACACCTTGGTGAAGACTGTGCCTTCGAAGCTTGCGGGGGGGGTGGGAGCGGGGGAAGATCTAGGGGAGGCAACACCAGAGTAGTTCAGTGGAGCTGTGCCCAGGTGAGGCTAGGGTGGAGCATCCTAGGGTGGAGGCTCAAATGGGTACCATGCCCAGCCCTGGACCCATTTGAGCCCTGACCTAGGATGCTCCCCCATGGCATTTAGTGTGCATCCACATGCCACAAGAAATACAGTGTTGTTTCTGCTTACAAATATTGAAGGGCTGGGCCTGGTAACTCACATCTGTAATCTCAGCAATTTGGGAGGCCACGGTGGAAGGATCGCTTGAGTCCAAGAATTCAAGACTAGCCTGGGTAACATAGCAAGAGCTCATTTTTACAAAAAAAAGTATCCAGGTGTGGTGGTGTGCACCTGTAGCCCCAGCTACTTGGGAGACTGAGGCAGAAGGATCTCCTGAGCCCAAGAGGTTGAGAATGTGGTGAGCTGTGATCATGCCACTGCACTTAGCCTGGGTGACAGAGTGAGACTCTGACTCAATAGATAGATAGATAGATAGATAAGTAAATAAATGTGAAACAACCCCCTCTCTTTGGCCTTTGCAGTTCTCTCTGATGCAGTACTCAAACCTCCTGAAGATCCACTTCACTTTCACTGATTTCCGGACCAGCTCAAGCCCTCGGAGTCTGGCGGATCCCATCATACAACTGAAAGGCCAGACGTTCACGGCCACGGGCATCCAGAAAGTGGTGTAAGCTTGGCTTCCCACTGCCTGCTGGAAGTGGTTGCCACACACAGCCCTTTGCAGAGGCTGAGGGAGACTCTGGAGAAGGGAAAGGGGGAGTGTGAGGGCTGTGGGCAGAATCCTCCCTGGAGAGCTCCTGTCTCCCTCACTACCGGGTCTCCCTGATGTAAGACTAGATTCCTCTGCAGCTGCGATTCCCCTTTGTCTGGTTCTTAAGAGGTTGGACCCTAGGGGCCCATTGGAGACAGCCAGAAGCTTGGGCTTTGGTTCAGACACATCTGGTTTCCCCTGGCTCCCTGCTTGCTACTTGAGTGACCCTGGGAGTTACTGACTCTATATTTCAGTAAACTGTCCAATGAGGTTAACTCACAATTTCGTTGTAAGGATTAAACAAGATCATGTGTGTGAGGCGTTAAGACCAGGGACCCAGGAAATATTGGGTAAATGGTTGAGGCTTTATTTGGAGAATGGCACAACCCCTCTTGACTTTCCTGGCAAGGACCCAGGAATTGTTGACAAGTGCCTTTCTCCCCACTCACCTCTCAGTTCCCACATTCTTCATTCATGCATGCCCTCTGTGTTAACTGGGCACTTACTATAAACTGCCCAGCACTAGGGCCCAGGTGATCCTTGCAGAAATGGTTTAGGCAGTGGGACTTGAAAGAAGAGGATGTGGTTCTTTTATTTTTGTTTTCTTTGTTTTGAGGATGTGGTCTTATGGGAAGGAGCTGGACTGAATGTCTGACATCCTTGGCTTTCTGCATACACCCCTGGGTCCTGCTCTGAAAGTAGTGCTAGAATTTGGCAGAAGCATACTGAACAAGAGGTGCTCCCGCCAAATGCACCCTCTTTACTTTTGGGTGGCTTTTCTACCTTGGACACTGGCCGCTTGGGACTGGAAAACCAGGTCAAAAGCCTCTGTCTCATAAGTTTAAAGTCATGCAGGACTATCCTCTCCTGGAGGTCTTTCCTCACCCTCTCGAAGTTCTGGGGGGGCCTGGACAGAAAGGAAACTGAGTCAGGCATGATCACATGGTTCTCACCAACTCCAACTCTGCTCCCTTCCCCAGAATGCAGTGATCTCCCAGCAGCCTCCGCACTCTCAGACCAAGCCCACCTCAGCACTGGACTCAGCCACTGCTCGACCCCCTTGCCACTGACTATGGCCACAGAGCCTTTTCTTTTATTTTTCCTCTTCTTTTCCCCTTCCCTTTCCTTCCCTTTCCTTCCCTTCCCTTTCCCTTCTCCTTCGTTCCTTCTTCTCCTTCCTCTTTCTCCTGCTCCTCCCCCTCTCCTCCTTCTTCCTTTCCTTCTTCCCTCCCTCCTTCTCTCCTCTCTCTCTCTCTCTTTCTTTTAGTTTCATTACAAAAAACCCCAAATAGGCTGGGTGCGGTGGTTTATGCCTGTAATATCAGCACTTTGGGAGGCTGAGGTTGGGGGATCGTTTGAGTCCAGGAGTTTCAGACCAAACTGGGCAACATAGTGAGACCTTGTCTCTCCAAAAATAAAAAAAAATTAGCCAGACATGTTGTATGGTGGTAGATGTCTGCTATCCTACATACTTGGGAGGCTGAGGCAGAAGGATTTACTGAGTCCAGGAGGTTGAGGTTGTGGTGAGCCATGAGCATGTCACTACCCTCCAGACTGAGAGTGAGACCGCGACTCAAAAAAAAAAAAAAAAAAAAAACAAAATGTCAATAATGTTAAGGAAACTTCTTAAAAAGCAGTATTACTCACAGTTCTTCTGGTCAATCACCTGACAGTATTTTAGCAACAAGAAGAGCTATGAACAAGTTAATCAATAAATCCCACCAGCATAGCCCAGTGCTGTTTCCATCCTCATCTTTATTCAGTATTATTTTATATGATCATAGTCAGGACAGAAACTGTTTTCATACTGCTTTTTATTCATATAGGTCATATAAACCTGTTTCATGTTTTTCTAGTTTATATTTTTTTCCTTGAAATTGGTGTGTACTTTTCCAACAACAGGCTAGGTTATGATTTGCACAACTTTTTCTCTAATGTTGGACTTTTAGGTTGTTCCCAGTATTACATTTGGCATATGTGTGCTTTTTGTTCCGAGTTTATAGAGCTGCATGAACATATAGTTACATTTTTAATCTTACAGCTATGGCCTAATTCATGCTTATAAGCAGGCCATTCACTATTGTAAAAGCTTGACCTCATTTAATCTTCAGAATAACCTGATACTATTTGTTTCCATTATCTTTTGTTGCCTAAAAAAACCATCCTCAAGTTTAGCTGCTTAAACAACAATTCTTGCCTTATTTTTCCTGATACTGAAGCTCAGCTGGATAGTTTCCCTGTGTTTCTTCCAGAGGGTCTCATGTGGCTGTGGTCGACTGTCTGAGGCTGGAACATGGAGAGCTTCATTCACATGCCTGGTGCCTAGGCAGGATTGCCTAGAAGGCTGGAAGGCTGGGCTCAGCTGGGATGGCTGGGTCTCTCCCTCCATGTGGTCTTTCTCCATGGAGACACTCCATGGGGTGCCTCCGACAGGGTAGCCAGTCTTCTGTTACTGTAGCTCAGGGCTCCCAAGAGTGCAAAAGCCAAAGAAACCAAGGCTTCTTAGGCCCATAACTGGCATAGTGTCACTTCCACTGCATGCTACTACTGATGCAGTGAGTCATGAATCAGGTATGGTTCATCGGGAGTCATCTTTAGAGATCAGCTACAGCATAATTATTATCCACATCTTGCATAGAGAGAAGCAGAGGCTCAGAGAGGTTAAGTGACTTACCCAATGTGTGTCTGACTTCAAAATTCCTTCTTTGAACCATACTGCCTCCCAGGAATGAGGCTCAGCAGTGGATACAATTTTAAAAACAAAGCTTATGAGTTCCTTTATTATTGATCTTGCTAATTATTATCAGTATGGCTTTTCAAAAGGATCAAATCAATTTCTGAGCATGTATGATAGAGTCTGAGAGGACCAGTACTCCCAGCCTCTCCAGATGAGTTTCTAGCACTGCAAATGATGTCTTTCCACAATCAAACATATCTTGATAAAGCCATCTCCCTTTCTTCCCCTGCAGGGCAGAGCTATTTCATAGTAAGAATGGAGCTCGCAAAAGTGCCAAGAAGATCCTCATTGTCATCACAGATGGGCAGAAGTACAAAGACCCCCTGAAATATAGCGATGTCATTCCCCAGGCAGAGAAAGCTGGCATCATCCGCTATGCTATTGGGGTACGGCCTCTTCTTCACTGCTGTCCCAAGCTTTGCCTGCGCCTCATCCAGGCTGAGGGCTGGAGGGCTTCTCTTCCTCAGCTGCCTCTCTGCTGCAGGTGGGACAGGCTTTCCAGGAACCCGCCGCCAGGAAGGAGCTGAACATCATTGGCTCAGTGCCTCCGCAGGACCACGTGTTCGAGGTGGACAACTTTGCAGCACTCAGCAGCATCCAGAAGCAGCTGCAGGAGAAAATCTTTGCAGTTGAGGGTAAATGGGAAACAAGGTTGGGCCTTGGAGTTGAAGGAGTCCCGACCCGATTGTCCCCTGCAGGTCCATCCCTATTCATAACTCACCCCAAATCGCTCCCCAGAACCCAAGCCCCGGACTGCATTTTCCTCCCTCTGCTCTGAGTCCTCATGGTCTCAGGGCTTCCAAGAACCTAAATGACTTGTTGTTTCCCCACAGGAACCCAGTCGAGGACAAGTAGATCCTTTCAGCATGAGATGTCCCAAGAAGGCTTCAGTTCTGTACTCGCCATGGTGGGTGGAGTATGTGCTTGTTAAACAGGTCTCAGGCACCAACTCTGGGGCGGCCCTGGGCTAGGAGCTGGGGCCCAGAAATAAACAACAAATAGACCCTGTCCTCAAGTTCACTGTCTAATGGGGGAAAGACATGCAAGCAGTGTGTTTGGTGTTGGGAACACAGCAGAGAAGAGGGTGGCCTAGGTTCCTGCTCTCATGGAGCACATATTCTAGTGGGAAGAGACAAAATAAACAAATGAGTTAGATTGTTGTAAGTGTTGGGATAGAGAAAGAGAGATGGTCAGAGGAGGCAAAATGATGAGAAAGGGCCAGTCCTAGGAATATCTAGAGAAAGATTGCTCTAGACAGAGGAAAAAGCAAGTGCAAAGGCCCTGAGGCAGAAACAAGATTACTATGCTAGAGAGACAGAAGAACCAGCATAGCTAGAGCAGAGTTAGTAAGGGGCAGCCTGGTAGGTGAGGGCAAGAGAGGTAAGAAGGGCCAGACTAGAACAAAGTGATGGCCCAGAGGTATATGTGTATTCAAAGCATCCAGAGGATGCCGGGCTCGGTGGCTCAGCCTGTAATCTCGCGCCTTTGGGAGGCTGAGATGAGTGGATTGCCTGAGCCCACGGGTTCGAGACCCACCTGGGCAGGTGAGACCTCATCTCTACAATAAAAAAAAAAAAATTAGCCGGGCATGGTAGTGCGCACCTGTAATTCCGGCTACTCGGAAGACTGAGGCAGAAGGATCTCCGGAGCCCAGCAGGTCGAGGCTGCGGTGGCCAGGAGCGGCCACTGCACTCCAGTCTGGGTGACAGAGTGAGACTCCAACTCAAAAAAAAAAAAAAGTATCCAGAGGGATTTGCTTCAAAATAATATGAGAGTGAGTGGTGGATGGTAGAAATGAAACAAGATTGGTCAAGAATTGATCACAGAAGCAAGGTCATGGGTACTTGGGGGTTCATGATGGTTCATGATACATTCTTTCTACTTCTATATGCGTGCTAAGTCATCCATATCAAAGTTTTAAAGGGCAATAAACAAAGTACAGAGGTGGACATGCTTATAGCTTCCTGAGGGAGTTGAAGATGACCTCAAAGGGGAGGTGACTTTGAACTTGACACTTCCTGAGAAATTAACTGAGTTCTAGAAAGTGAGAAGGGGAGAGAGGTGTATGGACCAAAGGCTCGATGTGTTTTGGAACAGAGGGAGACTCCATGGGTTTGGCTGGGAAGGGTCTGAGGTGTCACCCTAAGGACGTTGGTGATAGTTGAGGAAACCTAATGCTAGGACAGTAGAAGGTGGGGCAGAGGAGGGCACAGTGGGAGGCAGACAAGGCAGTGGGTGAAAGGGGATGGGGGCAACGGAGACAGTGGTAGTGAGGATAAATGGGGAGACATTAGAGACTGGGACCGCAGATGATGCTGGTGAGGACTAGAAAAAAGGATAAGAAAAACCCAGATGGTGAGTGGAGCCAGAAGCAGGCATTCTTTGGCATAAGCTGTCTTTTGCTCTGTCCTGCTCAGCCCTGGAATCCTTTCCTCCTAGGATGGACCAGTTCTGGGAGCTGTGGGGAGCTTCGGCTGGTCTGGAGGTGCCTTCCTAGACCCCCCAAACGGGAGCCCCACCTTCATCAACATGTCTCAGGAGAATGTGGACATGAGGGACTCTTACCTGGGTGAGAAAAGGCTGGATCAGGGGCCTGGGGACAGGCTGGGAACAGCTGCCTGGAAGGGGGAAAGGGGAGGCTTTGTGCTGAGACCTGGGCCCCTCAGGCTATTCCACAGAGCTGGCCCTGTGCAAGGGAGTGCAGAGCCTGGTCCTGGGGGCCCCCCGCCACCAGCACACCGGGAAGGTTATCATGTTCACCCAGGAGTCCAGGCAATGGAGACCGAAGGCTGAAGTCACTGGGACCCAGGTTGGGCATGGAGGAAGCCACAGTGGAAGAGGAGGGTGGGCATGGCGGCCAGGGGAGGAGAAGGAGAGGGTGAGAGGGCTTCGGGGCCCATGGGGGAGGTCTTGGTGCCTGGGAGAGGTAGGACCTGGCCCAGGAAAGGGTGCCTCTGGCAGGGCAGGCCGCATGACTTCAGGCTGTGCCCTCCAGATCGGCTCCTACTTCGGGGCCTCCCTCTGCTCTGTGGACGTGGACAGAGACGGCAGCACTGACCTGGTCCTCATCGGGGCCCCCCATTACTACGAGCAGACCCAAGGGGGCCGGGTGTCCGTGTGCCCCTTGCCCAGGGGGGTGAGTGAGTGGCTGAGGGGACCCAGGCTGGGTGGGGTCTGGGTGTGGGTGGAGGAGTTGCCTGAGCTGGGGCCTGGCCCTGGTTTGTTCTGCAGCGGAGCAGGTGGCGGTGTGAGGCCATTCTCCGTGGGGTGCAGGGCCACCCCTGGGGCCGCTTTGGGGCAGCTCTGACAGTGCTGGGGGACGTGAATGAAGACAGGCTGACAGACGTGGTCATTGGGGCCCCGGGAGAAGAGGAGAACCGAGGTGCTGTCTATCTGTTTCATGGAGCCTCAGGATCCAGCATCAGCCCCTCCCACAGCCAGGTGAGGCCCTGTGTCTTCAGCCTCTCCTAGGTGCAACTCCCTTCCTGTGTCTTGGGGGTGCCAGTTGCAGCCTTCTGTCCCTGGCCTTAGCCTCATCATTCGTTTCCTTCTCTTGGTGTTTTCTCAGCTAATCACAAATCATCTCCTCTCTTTTTTGATTCCAGACAGCATCTCCTCTCTTTTTTGATTGTGGACATCTTAGTGGCTAAGAGATTAGGCTCTGAGGTCAGACCCCAGGTCAAATCCCTGGTGTGACCAGCCATCATGAGCTATGTGGCCTTAAGCAAGTGACTGATAGCCTCTGCAAACCTTAGCTTCTTTCTATAAAACATAGAAATGATATAAGCAACTCCTTAGGCTTCTTGTATGGATAATACAATGAGAGCACCAAGCACTCCAATGATTGAATATTTATGAATAACCAAAATAAATGATGAATACATAAATCTATTATATTCCTATTGTTACACCTTCATTTTGTCATAAGCCTGCATGAGTTCAACCAGAAGTGCTCCCGTCTCTCTGGGGGCTCGTGAAGTCCTCACTCTGCTTGCCTTCAGTTCCTCCCCCGACATCTCTTATTTTCAATGTCTCTATTGAGATGCACTTTCACCTCAGTTTCCCTTCCACATCTCTCTTCTCCAACCTTTCCTATCTCCTCCCTTTGACGTCCATTCTCCTGTCCCTCTCTGGCCAGCGAATCGCAGGATCTCAGCTCTCCCCAAGGCTCCAGCATTTTGGACAGTCGCTGAGCGGGGGTCAGGACCTCACCCAGGACAGATTGGTGGACCTGGCTGTGGGTGCCTGGGGACGCGTGCTGCTGCTCAGGTGATCACTCCCCCACATCCCACCCTTGCCCACTGTGTGTCTGATTCATCGGTGCTGTCCCTCCCCCCACCTTGTTCTCCTCCCAGAGGCCAGTGTCCTGTCCTTTGCCCCTGCTTATACTCCTCAGGAGTCTTCCAGTGCTGAAAGTGGGGGTAGCCATGAGATTCACCCCCATGGAGGTGGCAAAGGCTGTGTACCAGTGTTGGGAAGATGTGCCCACCACCCTGGAAGCTGGGGAAGTCACAGTGTGTCTCACTGTCCACAAAAGCTCACTCAGTCAGCTAGGTGAGTTTCTTCCCTAGAGGTGGACCCAGGCTCTCACCCCCTCAAAGGTCCCCACTGCTATCCTCGGGACAGAATGGGCCCAGGAATCCAAATATCACCTCCACATCTGTTCAGATGCCTGTGTCAGAAACCTGGGTCCCTCCTCTCCCCTTTTTCCCACACCCAGGCCTATAGGTTCTGTCTCCAGGATAGCTCTGAAGTCAGCTCGCTTCTCTCCCCCAGGCCTCCTGCCTTCCTCTAGGCCCCCACTTTTCTTTCCTATCTACTACAAGTAACAACACTCTGAGTGGTTCCCACATCTGTTGTCACACCCTCCCACCCATTTTTCAAAGAGGAACTAGAGGTGATTGGCTCTAATATGCAGATTTGGGCTCTTCACCACAGCCCCTGCTAAAAACCTCTTGCATTTGTAAAGACCCAAATCCTTCCCTATGATGCTGTCTCTGATTTTGCCTCCCTGCCACTCCGGTTTCACCACATCCCACTCCACTTTTGTAGACACACTTTTTGTAAACGTGTCAGCCTCCCTTTCCTTTCTGGTCTTGGCCACTGTTCCGGTCCAGACATTCTCCTTCCCACTCTTCATCAAGTCCTGCTCATCCTCCAGGTCCTAGCTTAGACACAGCCCATCTAGGATGGCATTCCTGACCAAGTCCGAGTTAGCATGCTCTTCTTAGTATCACCAGAAGTTCCCCCCTTGCACTGGTCACGCTGTGACATTATGGCTCATGTGCCTGACTCCTTTCTTAGATTGAATTTCATGAGGGCAGGGGCCATCTTTATCTATCTTCTCCGTATGGATCATCATACCTGATACAGTTCATAATCCATAGAAAGTACCCGGAAAATATTGCCCAAACAAATCAATGAAAACAGAACATTCTAGGTTCTCTTTTCCATTCCATTTCCCACTCCCCCTTCCACCTCAGGTGATGTGCAAAGCTCTATCAGGTATGATCTGGCATTGGACCCAGGCCGTCTGGTTCCTCGTGCCATTTTTGATGAGACCAAGAACTGGACATTGATTCGAAGAAGAACTCTGGGGCTGGGGGATCACTGTGAAACCATGAAGCTGCTTTTGACAGTGAGAACTCTGGGTTCTGGGAAGGGGAGAGGGAGGAGGAGCCCAAGACTAGCCTCTAGCAACCCTGTTTCCTGCTGAGTGGAGTGGAAAGAGTGAGGATACTGGGTTGGAGAGAGGAAATTTGGGACCAGAGACCCTGGCTCTGCAGCTTGGATGGGGCACTGTTTGGACAGTGGGGAATGGATGCAGTGGAGAAGCTGTGGAGGTGGTAAGTAGGAGGACAGCAGGTTCTTGAAAGCCCATTCTTCTTCAGGACTGCGTGGAGGATGTGGTGAGCCCCATCATCCTGCGCCTCAACTTCTCCCTGGTGGGAGATCCCATCCGCTCATCACAGAACCTGCGCCCTGTACTGGCTGTGGGTTCACAGGACCTCTTCACTGCTTCTGTAAGTATTTCCCTGAAGTTCCAGGGATATGCTGGTTTTTCTTGTGTCTCCGTGTGCTTGAGAATCCACAGAAGTTCCCAACTTCCCACCAACCACATCATGTCCAAAATGCCTCCACCCAGGTACCAAGATCCTGTCTAACTTGGACCCCTGCACACATCCTAACCAGTTATCTGCTTTACCCCCACACGCCTTCTCTGGTTCACATTAAGCAGATCTTTCTCGAGTTTTTTCATTCCTATCTCTGTGTCTTTGTCCATGTTGTATCTTGGAAAACACTTCCTTCTCTCTACCTCAAGTATCTTCTCAAGTTCTCAAATCTCCAATCTGGATTTGGATTTGACTCAACTAAACTTTATGCTTCTTGAAGCCAGGAGTCTTGTTTTATCTTTCTTTTACATTCCAATCCCCAAACCCCACCTCTACTCCTTGCCAGTGTCTAGCAGAGTGCTGGATGCAGAGGCTTAGTAATACTCAGTGTTGATGAGTGCTTCTTGTGGGGGTGGGGTTTGGAGAAAGAGTAAGACAAGAGATGGAGGGAGGATATATTGTTTTGCTGCAGCTCCCTTTTGAGAAGAATTGTGGGGAAGATCACCTCTGTGAAGGGGACCTGAGTGTCAACCTCAGCTTCTCAGGGTGAGCTCTACCTCCTTTTAGGTCCACACACTTAAGATTCTGGGTCTCCCATCCTCATTGGATGAAAAGTGCTTGCACCCCCTTGACTCTCTTCCTAACAAAAACAATTTTGTTTGGAATGTTAGCAGTCCATATGTCACGAGTTTTGATAACCCTGCCCCTGTGCCTGAGCCAATTCCAACCTATTTTCAATGGAGTCATACTCCCAGGCTTGCCCTTCCCCCTTCAGCCTGCAGACTCTGATAGTGGGAATCTCCTTGGAGCTCAATGTGACAGTGACTGTGTGGAATGAGGGCGAGGACGCCTATGGAACCGTGATCAATTTCTACTACCCAGCAGGGCTGTCCTATCGACGGGTGTCAATAACCCAGGTAAACAATGGCCTTAGGCTCTAGTTGTCTGTGGCATCTTCTCCGCCCTATATCCCCTAGAGTTGTAGAAGGTTCTTTTAAATTCTTCTTCTATGATTATATGAACACACACACACACACACACACACACACACACACACACAGAGAGAGAGAGAGAGAGAGAGAGAGAGAGAGAGAGAGAGAGAGAGAGAACAAGACAGAGACATAAGATATATGTATAGTTTAATGAATAATACCAGGCAAACGTTCATACGATTAACATCTAGGTCAAGAAATAAAATATCACTATCATCCCCAGAATCCCTCTCACCACATGCCTTTATCAGAACCCCATTCTCTCCCCAAAGGTAATTACTATTCTAACTTTGTGATACTCAGTTCCTTTTATTTATTTATAATTTTACCATCCATGATTGTGTCCATAAATAATACTGGTTAGTTTTGCCAATATTTGAATTTCATATGAATGGAAACATGTATAACCTCTTTGTCTTGCTGCTTCTCCTCTATATTATTTTTGTGAGATTCATCTGTATTGTTGTATATGGCTGTAGCACTTTTTTTTTTGAGTCAAGGTCTCAGACTGTCACCTAGGCTGCAGTGCAATGGCACAATCAGGGCTCATGGCAGCCTCAAACTTCTGGACTCAGGCGATCTTCCAGCCTCAGTCTCCTGAATAGCTGGAACTACATGTGAGCACCACTATGCCCAGCTAAATTTTTTTTTGGGTGTAGCGATGAGGTCTTGCTATGTTTTCCAGGCTGGCTTCAAACTTCTGGCCTCAAGCAATCCTCTTGCCTTGACATACCAAGTGCTGGGATTACAGGTGTGAGCCACCATGCCCAGCTTGTCTGGCCTTTTTATTTTTGTCTATTCTTCTATTGGGTTGCCCATATTTTTCATATAGATTCATAAGGGTTGTTTACATATTCTGGTTACTAGAGCTAGCCAAGTTGTATGTGTTCAGATAGCTTTTCTAATTCGGTTGCTTGTCTTTTCAGTCTCCTTATTGTGTATTTTAATAAACAGAATGTCTTAATTTGACTGTGGTTGATTATATCAATCTTTTCCTTTTTATTTAGTATTTTTGTGTGTGGTCTTAAGAAATACTTCCCTTACCCAAGGTTATGAAAGTAGCTGCTATATTAGTTTCTAAAAGCTTTAGAGTTTTGCTTCTTCACAATTAAATCTTTAATTCAGTTGGAATTTGTTTTAATATATGGAGTGAGGTAGGGATCTAACTTCTTTGTTTTGCTTTCCTTCTTTTTCTTCTTTTTGGTATGGGCCAATTTTTCTAGTGAAAATTGAAAAGTCTGTCCCTTCCCCTACTTCTCTGCAATGTCACCACTATTATATATCACGCCCTTATATACATTGGGTAACTTAAAAATTCATTATCCTCTGGGCTCAGTGGCTCAGCCTGTAATTCCAGCACTTCGGGAGGCCGAGGCAAGAGGATTGCCTGAGTCCGCAGGTTCGAGACCAGCCCAGGCAACTTGGCGAGATCTCATCTCTACAATAAATCAAAACTTAGCTGGGTGTGGTAGCGTGCGCCTGTAGTTCCAACTATTTGGAAGGCTGAGGCAGAAGGATTGCCAGAGCCCAGCAGGTCGATACTGGGGTGGCCATGAGTGTGCTGCTGCACGCCAGCCTGGGCGATGGAGTGAGACTTCAACTAAAAAAAAATTCATTCTCTTCCCCTAGAAGCAACCCCATCAGCACGCACTGCACCTGGCATGTGAGGCAGTGCCCACTGAGGAAGACGGCCTGAGGAGTAGCAGCTGTGGCCTCAACCACCCCATCTTCCGAGAGGGCTCTAAGGTCAGCAATTGTCCCCAAGTCCTCATGACTGCTTTGCTTTGTCCTGACTCATTCCTTTCCCTCACGCCACAGTGATCTTCCTTTTCCCCATTCCTTCCTTCTTCTTCCCTCAGCACACCTTCATAGTCATATTCGATGTTTCCTACAAGGCCACCCTGGGAGACAGGATGCTTATGAGAGTCAATGCAAGCAGGTAAGTCCAGGTCAGGTATGGTGTGTCCCTCAGCCTCCTTTCTCATGCCCCGGCTGGAGACTCCTCTCCTGGACTCCTCTTCATCTGGGCTTCCTTCTCTTTCTCCAGCATGAATAATAAGCCTACAAACAACAAGACTACCTTCCAGCTGGAGATCCCAGTGAAATATGCTGTCTACACAGTGATCAGCAGGTGCTTAATCCCTGCCCTCCCCATGGACCGCTAACCTTCCTCTGAGTTTGACACCTGCCTCTGAGTCTCAGCCTACCATTTTGATGATGTGCATATCAGTTTTCACTTTTCATTCCCCACATGGGAATGCGTGTGTGTGACCAGCCATATGCATGATTATGCACCACATAAAAATGTTTTGGTCAATGATGAACACCGCAGTGGTCTCATAAGATTTTAACGGAGCTGAAAACTCCCTATCACCTATTGACTTTGTTGCTCTCATGATGCTGTAGCTGCCATAGTGTCATAGCACAAGGCATTACTTTTTCTCTGTTTAGATACACAAATACTTGTGTTACAGTTCCCTACAATATTCAGTACAGGAACATGCTGTACAGATCGGGAGCCTAGGAAATAAGCTATACCACATAGCCTAGGTGAGTAGCAGGCTACACCATCTAGGTTTGTGTAAGTACATGCTATGATGTTTGCACAATGACAAAACTGCCTAACAACACATTTCTCAGAATGTATCCCTGGTGTTAAGTGAATGACTGTGTTTACGCCCTCATATTATATATCGTAATTCTTGCACCTTCTCTGATGAATTGGCCTGCTGGTGGGACACACACCCCTTGCCACTGCTGTGCATTTCCTCCCCTCCCTCCAAAATGCAGGCTTCCTTTAATATGAAGCCAATCCTGTCCTTTGTGCTAAATATGGACATGCCAAAGCAAAGCTACTAGATGGAGATCAAGGCTTTTCTGAACACTCTGAAGTGGGGAGCTTGTGCCCAACAGGATATGGTATGTCACCACACAGAGGAAAGGAAAGGTCAGGTTTTTACAAAACTCAGAGGAGGGTGGAGGTGTGAGAAACTGTGGGGAAGGCCTCTACGAGCCCAAGGCTGAGGCAGGCCACAGGGAAGGCAAGTGTAAGGCTGCTGCTCTGGGCTCTGAAGGTGGGTCAAAGAGCAAGGGTGGTCCAGGCAGGAAGCAAAGCAAGGGATCCCACACACTGGGCTAAGTGTCAGGGGTTTAGAGAGCTGCTCAGAAGCTTGCAATATTACCATGGGAAGTTTGCTGCTGTTGCTGATATATGGGTTTTTAGGGACGGGAAGGAGGATCATGCAGTGCCATTGACCTTTCATACCACATGAGTAAGTTTCCTCTTCTATCCAAAGGAAAATACTTACAGCTATATATCCCTATGTCAGGCACTGTTTTATGTTGTTGTTGTTTTTTGTGTGTGCGGTTGTTTTGCATTTTGAGTACTTTACATGTATTTACATGCATTTAAATCTCCCAGTAACTATATTGTGATCCCCATTTTTACCCACAAAGACATCAAGATTTTTTAAAATTAAAATTAAAAATTTTTAAATTTTAGAATGGTTAATTAATTAATTAATTTTAAAGATGTGGGATACAATTCAGGGTTCGGTATACCAATGTTCATTTTGCAGGTGCCCTTGTTGATGAGGTGTGCCCCTCCCTCCCCTGGCAGTTTCCTTCAACTGCCAATCCCACCCCGCCCCCTTCCCTAGCAGTTTCCCACTACTGCAAATCCCTAGAAATCAAGATGTTAAATCACTTGGCTCTGTCATTCACCAAGTAAGTGTCAGAACCAGGAATCACACCCAGATGGTTTGGCTCTGTAGCCTGTGAATATGGCCATATACTACACGCCTCTCTGAAGACTAGGTAAAGCTGTGTGATTTACCTAGATTTGGAAAAAGGTTTAGAACTGGAAGAGGTGAGAAATGGAAGCATAGAGGGAAGGGGATGGGGTAGGGAGCAGAGAGGAAGGCTAGATACTAAGAAAAAAAAAAACTCTAACATTTATGGAGGACTCACTGTATGCTTGGAACTGCCACAGGGCAGCTCTCATCACAACTCTGCTATAAGTAGGCACTGTTATTAGCACCCTGATTTTAAGGAGGGAAAAACAACAGGGCTCCAGAAAGGTTAAGGAGCTTGCCTTGAGTGACTGGGTAGGAAGGGGTAGACTTGAGATATGACTGTGTCTGGCATCACAGTCTATGTGTTCTTAATTACTAGGCTGACAGTGGGAAAACCGTTAGGACCCAGAGAGTTTCTGTGTGGCTGGTCTGGTTGCTCTGTGTGAGGTGAAAAGTGCAGGCCCTTCTGCTTGTCTGCTTGATTCCACTACAACCTTCGACGTTGAGTTCTGAGAGGGCAGGGATTGTGGCTTAACTGTTGAATCTCCAGGGCTAATTGCACAGCCTGTGTTTGCTGAATGATGCCATGGATGGATGGATGAAAAGAAACCTACCTGCAGCCTGGACCACTATGTCCCTCCATAGGCTTGTGCTCATGTACATCTTCCTTCAGGTTTACCTACCTGTCCCCGGATGACCACATCTATTTTCTTTACTCCCACCATGGAGGGACTCACTCCATTTCTTCCTGAGTAATCCCACTATCATCCTCTAGAGATCCCTTAGCCTTATTTGTTCTGGAAGCAATCTCTGCAAGAATTACCTGAGGTCAACCACGTACCTGTTAGAGAAAGCAATGTGAACGTTTTTCCTCTGTGGGAAAATATTTAAACATTAGGAGAGGTGATGTTTAAGTTGTATTGTTAAGTGTAAATTTTCAGAAGGGGAGTGGGTAAGGACATTCCAAGCAGAAGAAGCTTGAGCAAAGTCATGGGTGTATAAAAGAGCCAGGGTATTGAGGGCAGAGCTTGTGGTTCTGGGTGACTGGGGGAAAGGAGCTGAAGCTGAGGCTACAGAGGTAAGTGGGGCCATCATAATTTCCCTGGGTCATCTGCTGGGTCCAGTGGAGTTCTCTGCAATAGACTAGGGAACAATTGGGACCAGTCTCTGGGCCGTTTTTCACCCACAGGTTCTCTCTCTCCAGGCAGGAAGAATCCACCAAATACTTCAACTTTTCAACTTCTGATGAAGAGAGCAGAAAAGAGGCCGAGCATCGATATCGGGTGAGAGGCTAGGGAATATCCATGTCTGCCTTCCACGGTGCGGACAAAGTTAGAAGTTGGTGGGGAAATATGGGGAGGTGCTTTGGGATAGGACTGGGAGGGAAGTGGGATTTGGGGTGCTCCAGGGACTGAAATAACGTTGTTCTGATTTTCTGCAGGTGAATAACCTGAGTCAGCGTGATCTAGCCATCAGTGTTAATTTTTGGGTCCCCATCCTGCTGAATGGTGTGGCTGTGTGGGATGTGGTTGTGGAGGCCCGCTCACAGGTACCTGCTAACTGTTCCTCTTTCTCCAGAGTCTGATCCCACAGCACAGTCGACTTTCTTACCAGGGAAATGTTCGCCATTCTGTGGCTAAGTATTTATCTTTCTCCCTAGAGTCTCTCCTGTGTGTCAGAGAGGGAACCTCCCCGGCATTCTGACTTCCTGACCCAGGTTTCAAGGAGTCCTGTGCTGGTGAGAAGGGCCCTGAATCCCCACTGCAAGACCAGCCAGCACTGGGGCATGCTGGGAAATGTGCTGCTAGTTTGCAGAGTTATGTATGCATCCTGTAACCACTTATCTGTCCCCCACCCAAACTCTGCCAGGTATTATTTTCTCTTATGGTTCCTCCCTAAGTGAGGACACTCTTTAACTTCATTCTTACCCTGTCCCTAGAACTGCTCTGTTGCTGACTGCCTGAGGTTCCGCTGTGACATCCCCTCCTTTGGCATCCAGGAGGAACTTGACTTCATCCTGAAGGGCAACCTCAGCTTCGGCTGGGTCAGTCAGGTGTGTAGCCTAACAGCAGGGCCCTTCCCCCAGATTCAGGTGGTACCTGATGCATTTGCGCCCACCCTCAAGCCAGGACACTTCTGGAACTCTGAGCCTGCCCCAGAACCAATTCCACAGGTTCCCCCTCCCTTTGCAGACACTGCAGAAGAAGGTGTTGGTTGTGAGCATGGCTGAGATCACATTCGACAAATCTGTGTATTCCCAGCTCCCAGGAGAGGAAGCATTTATGAGAGCCCAGGTAGTGACTGTGTGGTAGGTAGTGGCCGGGCTGGTAAGAGGCATTCTGATTTAAATCTATGGTGCTGGGTGGGAGGTTTGCAAGGCTGGAAGGAGTAAGGATGAAGGTCTCTGGGCAGGATAGTCTTTCCTAAGCTCATGGGTGCATCTGCATCTTACCCTTTGAAACAAGGCCTGGGGAAGGAGGGGAGGGAATTATAGGTTGAGGAACCTGAGAGGAGTCTGGGACAGCACGAGGCCTGATACTTTCTAAACCTCAAATCAGATGGAGACAGTGCTAGAGGAATATGAGATCTACAATCCTATCCCCCTTATCGTGGGCAGCTCTTTGGGAGGTCTGCTGCTGCTGGCTCTCATCACAGCCACGCTGTACAAAGTGAGTATTTTCACCCTACTCTTAACATCACCAGGATCCAACCCAAGACCTCCTACAGACAGGATGGTATAGTAGGAACTCAGACTGTGGAGGCAGGTGGGCCTGGACACACATTTTGGTTCCATCACTTACTCACCATTTAATGTTAGGCAAGTTGCTCAACCTCTCTGAGCCCATTTCTCATTTTTGACATGATAGTAATACTTACACCATGATAGTAATACTTACAGAGTGGCTGCAGTGAGACAGAAAACGAGGCCAGGGCATGTGAGGCCTGCCTGACTTCGGACAGAATCTATGCTTTTCTGCTATAGATTACATGTATAACTACTGGGCTTTGGGTACAGTATATGCTCCATATACAAGGGGGGACTCAAGAAAACCCAGAATTATCTTTTGGAGGGTGAGCCCCTTACACTACAGGCTTCCCCTGCTAGGTAAGTGTTCTAGGAACCCATGAGGTTTTATCTGGAAGTTTTGAGAAGGTGGTGTTACAATTTGTGGAAGAAATGTCTTGAGTTGTGGCAAACAGGTGACTGGTTCTTTCACCATGACAATGTACCTCCCATACCACGCTGAGTGTTCAGCAGTTTTTGGCCAAAAAAACGGCATGACCCCCATACCTCACCCTCCCTATTCACCGGATCTCACCCCAAGAGACTTTTGTTTGTTTGTTTTCCTGAATGAAAAGAGTTCTCAGAGGGAAATGTTTTGCCGATGTGAAGAGATGTAACAAAAAACAGGAGAAGCGCTAAAAAGCTTCAACATTGACAAGTTCAAGAACTGTTTTGAGCAGTGGGAAATGTGTCTTGATAGGTGTATTGAATCAGAGGGAGAGTACTTTGAAGGTGACTGAAGTTTAAACATGTAATACACAATTTTTAAATAAATAAATTCCAGGTTTTTTCAGTCCCCCTTCATTGGCTTAGTTCTATTCTCTCTCACCTTCTCCTTCCTCCTCTCAACTTTCTTCCCTTTTCTCTTACCCAGTTTTTTTTATTTGCTTCTCCTCATAGTGTGGCTTTTTCAAACGTCGGTACAAGGAAATGCTCATCGAAAAGCCTGAAGACACTGCCACATTCAGCGGGCAGGATTTCAGCTGTGAGACCCCAAACTTGTCTTTGTCCTAATAACCCATTTTCCTGTTTATCTCTTCCACCACCCACAAATCTACTTCCATGGAAACAACTTCTGTATAGATCTGGACTGGCCTGAGCAAACTATCAGGTGCTAAGCCATCTTCCCAAAGAGGTAGAGATTTTAAAATATTTTTATATATCAGTCTAACTTTTTCAGCAATGGCTCACTTTTTACAGAAACAAGCATGATGCCAGCATAAATTTTCATATATATAAGAATTGTCACATGAAATAAGGATGCTTATAACACACTTTTCTTGTATGGAAGAGCTCTAAATGCAGGGACCTGAATGCTGTTCTAAGAATAGTTGGGGGAACCTATTTGTGGGTATAGAAAAAGTTATCTCACTTTCTCAGATGACTGGAGTTAAGGCCATTTTTTCTTGATGGGGCTGAGGTAGAATCAGGGGAGAGGGTCAGAGTAAATGTGTGTGTGTGCATGTGTGTGTGTGCATGGATGTTAGTCATAAGTTTTAGCACAAGCTTGAGGTTCCTTAGTAATGACAAATGTGCAGGCTGTCCTAGGAAATGAAGGATGTGCACAGAGTTAACCTGAACTAATGTCCCCCTTGAATGGGACCAGGCTTCCAGAGAGGAGCATCTGACTTCCCAAACTAATACCGAAGACCTATCAAAGATGGTCACAGGGAATGGCTAAAATATTCCAAATCCAGAATTAGGTCACGAGGCTTCACACATAGGACTGTAGAGGCCATGTTTGAAGTCAGGATGACCTCCAGGAATTCACAGATGCCTCAGTGTGCCAGATGAGAAGTGGTACTTCCAGGGTTTGCAGCTCTGGGTTCCCACAGGGCCTCTGTCAAACTTCTTGAGTTAAAAGACAGTCATTTAGTCATTGATAATCTCTGGTTCCTCCTCTGGAGAGGGGGCCCCAAAATTATATCTTCTCCTCTGAGTTACTGTGAACATTCAGTGTATGTGGAAAGTCCTTTACCACCTAGAGCCCTAATTAAGTGTGAGAGAGTGAGCCCTAATTATCAGTAGGGGAGAGAGAGAGAGAG